GTGGCCAGAACCCTGCGCGGGGCCATCTGGAGGGCGGACACAGCCACACCCCCTGCCCTCCCCGCGACCTCTCGGTCCCTGGCGGCTGGGACCCACTGCCAAGGGGCTTTTCTCCCTGAAACCTGTTCCCAGGGCCAAGCCCAAGGAGACCGTGGGATGAGGGGATGAGGCCAGTCTGGGGTGCTTTAGCCAGCAGCCCCAAGCCCCTGGTGAGGGGGTGTCACCAGGCAGGACTTCCATCTGCTCAGTCCAGGCCTCCCTCAGCAGAGCCAGTCATGAGTGGGCAGCACCCTGGGCCCTGGCATCCGGTCACAGGTCCCCCCGCCAGGGTGTCTCCGACTTCTGTTATAACAATCACCACAGACAGAGGCTTGGGGTCTGCCGGGGCCAGTGCTCGCCCCCCAGTTCTCCCTGCAGCCTTCCAAGGCGGGCGTCCCCCCACTTTGCAGAGGTGGACACCGAAGCCTGGGCAGCCAGAGGCAGCAGCTGGTCGCCCTGAGCAGGCTGGGGAGGCACTGAGTGGCCTGTTCCCCAGGAGCCAAGGGTGTGAGCGAAGGGGGACCCTTACGCCAGGAAGGGAGTGCCTCGGGGAGCCTGGGGGATGCGTCAGGGCGAGGAGGGGGTGCAGGGCAGCCGAGGGAGGCTGCTGGGGAGCAGAGGGGCTGGCTGGGGGGTCGGCTGTGCTCACACTCCAGGGGCCCGAGAGCGGGTGAGGATGAAGGAGGTACAAGGTCGTGGCCCCAGGGACTCTCGGCCGAGCTGGGGCAGGGATGGGCAGCGAGAATGGGCGAGTTTCCTGTAAGACAGAGTCCAGGGCAACACTGGAGTGAGGGTCCTGGAACCCCAGAGGGGCAGCCGTTCAGCCTGGGGGCTGTCAGGGAGGGCTTCAGAGAGGAGGGGACCCTTGACGCGTCTAGAAAGAGGTGACTGTAGGAGAAGCAAGCTGGGGGCAGCCCGGAAAGGGGGGTGGGGCCGTGTGAGAGGAACCTGCTGGCTGAGAGCAGGACCTGTGCTGGGGCCTGGTTCCCCTGGTTGGGGAGTATTTTCCAGCTCCAGGACTCAGAGCGGGCCAGGCGCCTGCCCGGCATTGCACAGCCGGCCCCGGGTCAGGAAGCCCGTAGCCAGGACCTGGGGCCTGGATTCGCCCCGCAGGCCACGGGGCCACGCGGTTTGTAAAGGGGGGAAGCTCGTGTGTGTTTTAGGAAGATGTTGCATCTGTGGGAGGAGGAACTCCCAGAGTGGTTCCCACTTACCCCGGGGGCCCGAGTCCCCATCAGGGAGGCTGGCCTCGGTGGAGGGGGCCGCTCCAGGCACCCCATCCTTAGGAGGGGGCTCCCGGCATCTCACTCCTACCTGCCTGGGCTGGGGGCTCAGCCAGGGGCACGGAGGGGGCACCGTGCCTGTCCTGGGAGAGCCACTGGCCTGGGGCTAGGAGGGGGAGGCGGAGTGCCCGCGCTGCGGTTGTTGGAGGGCACGACCCTGTGCCCTGGGCGAGGAGAGCCAGCTGATGCGCGGCAGCCCCAGACCAGGAAGCAGCCGGGCCCCTCTCCCTCCCCCCGAGACATTTCCTCCAGATGAAATCACATCCCAGCAGGAACAGGCCCGCTTTGTGACCAGCGGGGTCTCCAGAGAAAGGACGCCTTTGAGGCCCTTAAAAACAGCAGCCCTGAGCCGCTGGGATGTGCAGGCCCGGCCTGTCCCCGCCTCCCGGCCCCAGTGCAGGCCCGGTACCCGCACCCGGGCCACGGCCTGTGGGTGACCAGCTGGGGCGTCGCTGGCCCAGGCAGGGGCGGGGCAGCCGCCCAGCAGGGTTTCGCCCTCTCCCTCGGCCTCCCCTCCCCCTTCCCCTACTGAGACCCTGGGGCGGGCGCTGGCATTTGCCGGCGTGGCCAGGGCCTCTTGGACTGCCTCCTGGGGGGCCCTCACCGGTCCTTTCTGCTGGCCCCTTTCTGCTTAGCAGGTGGGATAAGCGACAGGTGAGGAAACTGAGTCACAACTAGTAAGTGACACATTGGTGGGTGGTGGCGCCCGGGTTCAAGGCCCGGAGGCCTGTGCATGGGACCTTGCAGCCGTGGCTGTCCCCAGGGGCAGGTCAGCGGGGCAGGGCACGGCCCCGGGTCTGTGACAGGGCGCCCACGGGAGCCACGTGGTTGATGGGCCCTGGCCCTGGCCCTGGGCCCTCAGGCCGGGGACGGCTCCCAGACCTCCAGCCACCTGTGCAGGGACCGGAGTTGGGCTGGCCCTGCTTCTCCCACCTGAGCGCGGGGAGGCGTCGGGCTGCGTGTGAGTTGGAGGGGGGTGCGAGGATGGTGTGTGTGAGTTTAAGGGATGTCCATCATTCTGACTCCACAAGGTGGGGGGAGGAGGGAGAGGCAGTTGGGAAGGGTCTCCGGGCACACCGAGGACAGGAAGTCTGGGCTGCCAGCAGGGTGGGCCCTCACCTCCAGCTGCAGATGCTGCCCGGGGGTCCTCCCTCCCCCTGGGGGCTGGTGCTCCCTCCCTCCACCAGGGCCGTCCTCATTAGAACAGGAGGCGGAGCTAGAGCGCCTGCCAGGAGGCACTGCTCCTGCCGGCCCCAGCCCTCCCAGTCTTTCCTTTGGAGGGAGGGGGCCTGAGCCCCTCCCCCCCCCGGAGACCCAGCGGGGCTGTGGAGAACTGGTGGCGGACCCCGGCTGTGGGCCGCTGGGTCCGGCCCTGGCTTTGCAGCCACCCCGGTGTCCCGGCCCCTCCACTCCGGTCCTTTCTAACCAAAGCCGGGGCTGCCGGCCGGCCACGTGTCGCAGCCACACCACTGGAGCCCCGGCCCCCGGCCCCCCAGCCTCCCCACCTCATGGCTCTGTGCTCCCCATCCTTCTCCCTGCTTCCCAGAATCCGCGCTCCGGCTCCTCCTTGTAGTGAGTGGGATGATGTCACTTCCTGAGGGTGGGGGAGGAGTAGGCACGACCCCAGCCGGCTGCCCGCTCGCCTGCAGCCCCGGCAGCAGCCGCTGGATGAAGCGGCTGCACCGGGAGGGACGTGGGGACCTGCTGGGCTGGACGCGGCGGCCCCCTCCCCCGGGCCCGCCCCCAGGGCTGTGGCCGTCAGCCGGGGGAGACTTGCCCGCTTCCTTGCTGAGCGATGCTGGTCTCCGAGGAGACTCGTTTTCCCAGGAGCCGCCAGAGGGAGAGGATCAGGTGCCATGTAAGCCTCTGTGGCCGGGGCAGCAGTCCAGCCTCTGCAGCGGGGGTCGCCCTGCACAGTCCCTCCTCGGAGCCCCCGGACCAGCCCCCGGGAGGCTTCCCGCTGCTCCCCCACCCCGGTCCCCGGCCCTGGGGAAGGGCCCGGGTCCCTGGGCGCTCCTCCTGAGCTGATGTGAACTCCAACTTCAGAGTTAGAGCCGGGCAGCAGTGGCGGCGTGGCCCAGGGTGGGCGTGGGAGGGCGGGCGCCCTGCAGGGCTCAGCGGAGCCCTGGGTGCCGCGGCGTGCTCCTGACCCCTTCCCTCCCAAGAGGGAAGCGGAGGTTGGCAGTCCTGTCTGGTGGGGGCAAAGCCTAGCCATGCGCTGCTCCCGGGGCTCCGGCAAAGCGGGGACCTGAAGACCTGATTCCGCATGTGCTCACGGAGCACTACCCCGTGCGGGCACTCCCACCTCCGCTTGGCCCTGCCCCACGGCCGTCAGCCTTCCCGCTGCCCTGCCCGTCTCATGCTTGACCTGGGAGCCCCCACCCCATCCGGGAGCTGCGAGCACGGGGCCCGGTCAGGGCTGGCGAACTCCCTGGCCTCATGCAGGGGGGGCAGGGGTAGCCCAGGCCTTGCATGGGGCTGAGTAGTCACTGTTGGGGTCATCCCAGGGCACAGCGGGACCCAAGGGGCAAGTGCCAGTCTCAGGGCTGGAGGGCCCTCAGGAGCAGAGCGAAGCCCGTCTGACTGTGAGGTCCTTTCTGCTGGCTCTGGGGCTGGACGGGGCCGAGGGGGGTCCTGCCCAGAGGGGGTGGTCAGCATCTCCGGGGGCTGGAAGCCTCTGGGCTGGGGCAGGGGGAGCAGAAGAGAGGCCTGTGTCGCTGGGCACACCTGGCCAGAGTGTGGTGGCCCCGGGGGTCCGGGGGGCCCTGGGTGCCGAGGGGCCCTGGGTGCTGGGGGACCTTGGGAGCTGGGGGGCCCTGGGTGCCGAGGGGCCCTGGGTGCTGGGGGGCCCTGGTGTGGGGGATCCTGAATGCTGGGGGGCCGTGGGTGCTGGGGGACCCTGGGAGCTGGGGCCCCTATGAGCTGGGAGCCCTGGTGCTGGGGGACCATGGGTGCTGGGGGCCCTGGGTGCTGGGGGGCCATGGGTGCTGGGGGCCCTGGGTGTGGGGGCCCTGGGTGCTGGGGACCGTGGGTGCTGCGGGCCCTGGGTGTGGGGGATCCTGTGTGCCGGGGGCCCTGGGTGCCGGGGGCCCTGGGTGCTGGGGACCGTGGGTGCTGCGGGCCCTGGGTGTGGGGGATCCTGTGTGCTGGGGGATCCTGGGTGCCGGGGGCCCTGGGTGCTGGGGACCGTGGTGCTGGGGGCCCTGGGTGTGGGGGATCCTGTGTGCTGGGGGATCCTGGGTGCCGGGGGCCCTGGGGGGGGGCATGGGTTCTGGGGGCCCTGGGTGCTGCGGGCCCTGGGTGCTGCGGGCCCTGGGTGCTGGGGACCGTGGGTGCTGGGGCCCTGGGTGTGGGGGATCCTGTGTGTTGGGGGACCGTGGGTGCTGGGGGCCCTGGGTGCTGGCGACCGTGGGTGCTGGGGGCCCTGGGTGTGGGGGATCCTGTGTGCTGGGGGACCGTGGGTGCTGGGGGCCCTGGGTGCGGGGGATCCTGTGTGCTGGGGGATCCTGGGTGCCGGGGGCCCTGGGTGGGGGGGGGGCATGAGTGCTGGGGGCCCTGGGTGCTGCGGGCCCTGGGTGCTGGGGGCCCTGGGTGTGGGTGCCAGGCAGCCACAGGGCCCTCTGCTCTCTCCCAGGAGGTGAGCGCCAGGCCTGCTGAGCCTCCGCAGAGCCGCCAGCCATGCCCGGGATCGTGGTGTTCCGGCGGCGCTGGTCTGTGGGCAGCGACGACCTGGTGCTGCCGGCCATCTTCCTCTTCCTCCTGCACACCACCTGGTGAGTCCCGGGCCACGCCGCGGGGAGGAGGGAGGGGGGGGGGCCGCAATGCTCCCAGCTCCCAACAGGAGGTGCCTGAGACCATACACCCCTCAGGTGACACCCACAGGGGGCGTGGGGACCCCACCGGCCCCTCCAGCCCTGCGCCCGGCACTGGGCGGGCGGCGCCGTCTCCGGGGCTGGAGGCCGGCTCTCCCTCGGTCCTCAGAGGCGCTGGGGGCAGGGTGGCAGGGGTCCTGCCCGCCGCACCCAGGCCGGGCGGGGCCGGGGTGTGCAGGCTGCCAGCCCCTCTCGCACGCGTGTCCAGGTTTGTGATCCTGTCCGTGGTGCTCTTCGGCCTGGTCTACAGCCCGCACGAGGCCTGCTCCCTGAACCTGGTGGACCACGGCCGCGGCTACCTGGGCATCCTGCTGAGCTGCATGATCGCCGAGATGGCCATCATCTGGCTGAGCATGCGCGGGGGCATCCTCTACACGGAGCCCCGCGAGTCCATGCAGTACGTGCTCTACGTGCGCCTGGGTAAGGACGCGGCAGGGGGCTGCCCCGGGCCCCCACCCCCACCCCACCCCCTCGGCCCCACCCCCACCCTCACCCTCCGCCTGTGCGCCGGGGGCAGCAGCCTCCGTTGGAACGTGCAGGGGGCCCAGACTAGACCCCGGCCTGAGGGCCACGCCCAGGCTGCTGTCCGTTCTGGCGAATAAAGTTTTATTGGGGCCCAGCCACACTCACTCATTTCTGTGCCTCTCGCCTCCAGCTGCTTCAGTGCCTGGAGCAGCGGCTACAGAGTATGACCCCAACGCTGGGGGGCTTGCTCTCTGGCCTTCACAGAGAGGTCCCCCGCCCTGGTCCAGGCTGTCCTTCCCCAGCCCTGGGGTCCTCCCAAACACCCGTCCTGGGAAGAGCCCTCGGGGCCTGGACCTGCCGGTTCCCAGGAGCCCTCCTCCCCCCGCAACCCCCCCGTCCCTCTCCTGGGCTCCCCCTTCGTCCCTGGTGAACAGTCTGTGAACGCGGTTCACTCCGGAGGAGCGAGTGCTGGTCTCCTTTTACAGACGAGGGTCTGGGCTGGCGGCTCCCCCGCTCCTCCTCCTTACACACACACACCCTGTCTCCTCCGGGGCTCAGTGCCCTGAGCAGGGTGCCTGGAGGGGCCGGAAGCAGGGCCGCCTCTGCCTGCTGCAGGCGTCAGAGGCCTCTTCCTGGGGGGTAGCAGCTTCCCTGCCACGGATACTCCTCTGGCTCCCCCACCGTGAGGCTGCGGCCCTGGCCGCCCATTTCACAGACGAGGAGACAGAGGCTCGGGTGGACTGGGTGGCTTGCCTAAGAGCCCACGGGGGTGATTCTGAGATCCCGGAAGGGCAGGGCAGTGCCTCTTCGCCACCCGCCTCGCCAGCCTCCTCCTGGGGAGCGTCCAGGCCTGAGGCCACCTTGCAGCGGGGCGAGCGGAGGGACAGCCACGCTGCCCGGGTCTCCTCCCCGGGAGGCCTGTGGGCAGCGGCGGTGGGGTCCCCAGCCCCCGCTGCGGAGCTGGCTGGGCGCGTGGTGGGAGGGCCGGGCGCGATCCCTGCAGCCGGCCCGCTGTCTGTCTTCCAGCCATCCTGGTGATCGAGTTCATCTACGCCATTGTGGGCATCGTCTGGCTGACCCAGTACTACACCTCCTGCAACGACCTCACCGCCAAGAACGTCACCCTGGGTACGGCAGCACCCGCGCAGGGCGGGCGGAGAGGGAGCTGGAGCCCCGGGGGAGGGAGGCGCGGCCTTCCTCCATGTCAGCAGTTGAGGGCCCCTCAGCAGCTGCAGAGCCGCCTGCTCTGAGCCAAGGACGGGCCTTGGGGTCACGGCCCGGCAAGGGGACGGCCTCCCGGCCAGAGCCTGGGCCGGGGCTGCTGAGCCTGGCTGTGGTTGGTGCCTGGCAGTGGGAGGGGGCGGGGGCAGGACGGCTCTGGCACCCTCTCTTTGGAGCTGGTGCGCGGGGTCCCAGCGCCTCGTGCTCCCCCCGCTGCCCCCAGGGATGGTCGTCTGCAACTGGGTGGTCATCCTGAGCGTGTGCATCACCGTCCTCTGCGTCTTCGACCCCACGGGCCGCACCTTCGTCAAGCTGCGGGCCACCAAGAGGAGGCAGCGCAACCTGCGCACCTACAACCTGCGGTGAGCGGCCTGGAGGGCGGGACCTTCTGGCGTGGCCTCTCCCTGCCTCAGTTTCCTGGTCTGTAAAGTGGGACCGACGCTAGTTCCTGCCGCACGGGGCTGTCCTGAGACGGAAGTGAGAGAATGCGTAGAAGTGGTCACACAGCTGGAGCTCCGTCAATGGGAGCCACTGTCGTGTCATCCTTTTTGTGAGGCCGAGGCCGGTAACTGCAACAGGGACGGCAGGAGGCAGGGACGGCAGGAGGCATGTGGCAGTCAAGCCAGTCATATCGCTGAACTAACGGCTCCAGGAGGTCTCTGATACCATCGTCCTCATAACACAGAGGAGGAGACTGGGCCCCACGAGGGCAGGGACTGGCCTGAGGTGACTCCACGGGTACTGGATGGGGCTGGGGCCAAGCCCAGGCAACCTGGCTTTAGAGCCTTTGCTCTTACCCGTGAGGCTGGGCTGCCCCTAGGACTAAGGGGCTGGAGGAGGTCAATCAAGGAGGGCTTCCTGGAGGGGGTGTGTTTCGCACGGTGTTTCTGTGCCGTGGGAGAGAGCCTGAGGACGGACACCCAGGGTCACGGTAATTCTTACTGATGGAAAGGAAGAGAGAGGGGTTTCCAGGGTGGGTCCGGTCCATGGAGCTTCTACCAACAGGTAGGCCCTGCCTTCTCCACCGTCCGTCCTCCCACCAACCCTGGGCCAGCTGGGTCCCGGTCTGCAAACAGGAGCAGAAGTCCCAGAGGCAGGCCCCCTGCCCAGGTCGAGTTGGCGGGCACAGACTGGCGCTGCACCCCCAGCGCGGGCCCACGGGGTCGGAGCCCTCCGCCAGGCCGGCGGGCAGCCCCGGCACCACGCTCAGCAGGAATCTTCCGCCCGACCCTCCTGCCTCCACCTTCCGCTCCCTCGGACCCTCCACGTCAGCTCAGCCCTGCAGCCAGAGGCACACCCGGCCTGGGCGGCCACTTACCAGCCCAGATGCCAGGCCTGGGAGCCAAGGCCCCAGAGCAGCTGGCGACAGCGCCCGTCCCATCCCATCCCGTCCCGTGTGCTCACTCTGAGCACACGCCCCCACCTGACCTGGTTTCTGGGCTCCTGGGGCCCCAGATAAACATCTCCTCTCCGGGGCTCGGTGTAATTGCCTGTGGGGCCCAGGAGAGCCGAGGCCGCTGCCGAGGGGGGTTGGCAGTGGCTGTCATTTTAGCTGGAAAGTCCTCCTGCGGCCTCTGGGCCTGTTCGGGGACTAGGAGGCCACGGAGCTCACAGGTCCGTCCTGTTGCGGCTTTCTCCAGCTCTCCGGGCAGCAGGCCCAGGCCTGGCTGGTGTGCCCCCTCTCAGGCTGTTCCCTCGCCCTCCCTCTGCTCGGAAACCGGCAGCTTTTCTAGCAGGGACATCGTCTAGCCCACCTCCAGGCTCAGGGGTGCACACCCCAAGGTTAATTCCGTTTCTGAAGTCAGGAAGCTGCGTAAGCCCCTGCCCCCTCTCCTTCCAGTGCCGCCTGGTGAGGGCTGGGAGGTGGGTGATTCCCTGGGAGCCTTGACCTTGGGTCTTTGCTGAAGGAGTGTCGGTCCTCCTTCACGTGAGTGGGTCCCGGGCGGAGCAGTGCCGGTCTGTGGACTTTTTCTGTCTGGATTTAGTGTGTCTCTCTCTCACCCAGCTTGGCCTCTGCCGCCTAACTTAACCGCATTAGGCCAAACCTGTCCCCGGCTCCGTCTGCCCCCTGGTGGACATACAAAGTACTGCAGCGCAGAGATGGCCAGCCCTTTCCTCGGACCCACCCAGCCGGAAATTCTCTTCGAAGCTTTAAAACCCCCGTTAGGTTAGAAAGGGTTCAAAGCACACGATGCCCTGGGAGCCAGCCTGGCGGCATGCTCTCCCTTTAACGGCCCCTGGCAGGTGGGACACTGGTTCCGGGGCTGGCAGGGCCCAGGGCCAGCAGCTCCGTGCACCCTTTCTAACCCCTGGAGGCCCGAGGCTCCCCATGCCTGTGGGACTGGGGTTGGGAGCAGGGAGCAGAGCTAAGAGGCCCGGGAAGGAGGGCCCTGTTACTCCTGACCTCGGCTATGTGCCTTCATGCATTCGGGGCCACGCCTCCCCCTCTGGGCCACCTCCCAGCAGGCTCTGACAGGGCCAGCGGGAGGGCACAGGTCACAGAAGAAATCAGTCCCTTTTCGATCAGCCAGGAGATGCACGGTTTTAACATCGGATCTGCTATCTTTATGCTCAAAACAGACGGACTTCCGGGCACCCAGCTCTGGAAGGGCCCCCGTGGGTACCGGCCACGGCTCTGACTTCAGATGCAGACTCCTGGATGAGCTGCCAGACCTGGGGGCTGGGAGATGGGAGTGGTGGGAGGGGGAGGGGGCCAGGCCAGTTGTGCAGGGGAGGCTGGGCCTGCTCCTCTGCTGTGACAGACAGATCCAAGGGGCCAGGAAGTTCAGAGCCTCATTCCGCCCTTAGACTTCCCCCACGTACAGAGACTGTATCCAAAACCCTGTTTTACATTAAATTAAGTTAAAAATTTTTTAAATATATTTTTACTGATTTCAGAGAAGAAGGGAGGAGAGAGAAACATCAATGATGAGAATCATTAGATCAGTTGCCTCCCACACGCCCCCTAGTGGGGATCGAACCCACAACCCGGGCATGTGCCCTGACCGGGAATTACACCGTGACCTCCTGGCTCAGTGGCTGACCTTCAGCCACTGAGCCACGCCGGCCGGGCTGACGTCCTTCTGAGGGGGAGCAGCTCTGAGGGACAGGCTGGGGCTCCCAGCTCCTTAGTCCCCAGGCATGCGGTGTTCCATCCGCCCGGGTCATGGCCACCGAGCTGGCCACTGAGCTGTGTCAGGGAGCCCTTCTGGGGGGTCCTGGGAGCAGCCCCCTGTGTCCGTCACGTCTGGGCGGCGGTCCGCTGGGCCAGCCTGGGGCTCACGCACACTCCCTGCCCGCAGGCACCGGCTGGAGGAGGGCCAGGCCACGAGCTGGTCGCGGCGGCTCAAGGTGTTCCTGTGCTGCACACGGACCAAGGACTCGCAGTCAGTGAGTACGGGGCCGCGCCGAGGGCCGGCTGCCGCCGGCAGCGCGGGGGCAGGGCTGGCGGAGGAGCTGGGTTTTGAGCCCGGCTCCCGGGTGCCGCCTGCTCCTGGGAGCCCCTTGCCCCTCGCGTGTGAGGGCCCTTGCGGGAGCAGGGACAGGAGGGCCGGCGTGGAGATGCAGAGGCCTAGTCTGCGGGGCTCCCATCAGGGGTCGCAGGGGTCAGGCGCCGGGCCCAGCAGGCGCCTCGCGGTGCGGGGCGAATGGCGCAGGCCGGCCCCACAGACACCCGGGGCGCGGCGCAGGGATTCACTCCGTCCCCCGTCCTCTCTCCTGCTGCCCCGCCCCCGCCGGCCTCCCCGGACCGCGTAGGACGCCTACTCGGAGATCGCCTACCTCTTTGCCGAGTTCTTCCGGGACCTGGACATCGTGCCCTCCGACATCATCGCTGGCCTGGTCCTGCTCCGGCAGCGGCAGCGGGCCAAACGCAACGCCGTGCTGGACGAGGTGCGCGCCCGCCCGCCTCCGGCGGCCTCCCTGCACCCCACACCACCCAGGCCTCTCCCGGCCGCCCCTGATGCTGCCCCCCTCCTACGGGGCCCTGGAGGTCTCCCTCTGGGACTCCACTCCTCCTTCTCAACTCCTGCCTGCAGCCTCCGCTCACAGCTCTGCCTGAGCCACCCCACTCCGCGGGGCCGAGCGGCCTCCTCCCCAGGCCGGGCTGCCACGGGGACTCCCCACCTGGGAGCTAATGGACGACCCAGCGTGGCTTCAGCCTCTCCACCCCCCCACCTCCACCCCCAACACACCGGCCCCAGCGAGGGTCTCCCAGTACCTCCTGCACCGTCCACCCCCCCGGGGGCTCAGGAAGAGGGGGGTGATGCTTTGAGTGGGAGGGAAGCAGCTGAAGCAGGACAGGACCTGGGCCTTAGGAACCGCTGGGCCGGGGGGGGGGGGGGGGGGGGGGGGAGCTGGAAACCACCCCCCGTGGCTCGGGCTCTCAGTGCGGGGCCCGCATCCACCTTCGCCCGCGTCTTTCAGGCCAACAACGACATCCTGGCCTTCCTGTCGGGGATGCCCGTGACCAGGAACACCAAGTACATCGACCTCAAGAACTCGGTGAGTCAGAGCCACCCCACCCCACGCTGTGCGTGCCCCCCCCCTCCGCCGGAGCGACCCGAGCAGCCGCCCGCTCCAGCCACGCCCCTGAGCCCCCCAGGGCCCCTCCTCTCCGCCTCGCGCCCATCCCGGTCCCCATCCCGGACCCCCGGAGCCTCCTCCACGCTGGTTCTGCTGCGTCTGCTCGCCCACACGCGGGGCGCCCGGCCCTTCACAGAGGGAGCGGCTACTCTTGCCGCTGTCACCGCTGTCATCAGAAAAGGCAGCTGGCCCCCCCCCCCCCCCCCCCCCCCCCGGCACGGCGCGGTGGTGGAGCATCAGCCTGTGGACCAGGAGCTCACGGTTCAGTTCCCGGTCGGGGCACAGGCCCGGGTTGTGGGCTCCATCCCCAGGGTGGGGTGTGCAGGAGGCAGCCGGCCCATGGTTCTCTCTCATCATGGATGTTTCTATCTCCCTTCCTCCCTGAGATCAACAAAAATATAAACCTCTCCCAGCGCCTCTGGTGGAAAGCCAGTCAGTGTGTGTGGCACAGGGCACGGGTGTCCCAGCCATCAGAGGGCTCTGCCACCCCCAGCGGTGCCAGTCTGGACACATCTGAGCCCCTGGAAAAGCTCTGGCTTCCGTCTGCCCCACCCCCCAAAACAGGCCTGTGTCCCCTGTGACAGCCGCCGGGCTGGCAGTGCTCAGCACCGAGGGGCAGGGCAGGGCAGGCCCGAATGCCTTGTGCTGGGTCCCGCCTGCACCGGGCAGAGGCCACCGCCCGCCCCATAGCCGGGGGCGCTGAGGCAGGAGGGCCATCACTGGTCCGGCTCATTCCTGCAGGGCAGACAGAGCCCCGGCTCCTTCCAGCCGCCGGGCCCTGACTCAGGGCCGCCTGCTCGCGGCTCAGGGTGACTCATCCCCCGCTGACCCCTCCCCGCCCCGGGGTGCCAGGGCACGGCCCCGCTCTGCAGGGACACCGGCGCCTTCTGCCTCCTCCAGCCCTTGGGGCTGACACAACAACCCTGGTCTGAGGCATGGGTTCCAACGGGGCGCCCGCTCCAGAGAGACTCCAGCCTGCCCGGAGAGGTGCCAGTCTGCCCAGAGAGATGCCAATCTCCCGCCTGCTCCTTTCAAGCCAGTGACTCAGTGCATCAAGCTAGAGAGTCGGCCCCGTGTCTGGTCACCCAGCACCCAGCATCCAGGGCGGGCCCCGCTGCTCAAGACCTGGACCCTCCCTCCCCCTCTTCCCTCGCTGGAAACGGGGCAGGGAAACCGGCCGACGCCCCGAGTGCTTTTCTGTCCCCAAATCATTCCTTCTGAGGCCGGAGCGACAGGACAGGTCCCGGGAGGGTACGCGCCCTGGTTGCACGGAGATAATTAGGGAAAGGCAATTAGCATCTGGAGGAGCAGTGGTCCCTTCTCCGGGGCGGGGGCGGGGGCGGCTGCAGGGTGACGGTCAGGGGGTGACCGGCCGCGGCCCCCGCTTTTGCAGCAGGAGATGCTGCGCTACAAGGAGGTCTGCTACTACATGCTGTTCGCGCTGGCCGCCTACGGCTGGCCCATGTACCTGATGCGGAAGCCCGCCTGTGGCCTCTGCCAGCTGGCCAGGTCCTGCTCGTGAGTACGGCCCCGGCCCGCCCCTGCCCCCGCCCGCACGTGAGGAGGGCTGAAGCTGGGCCCTGGCCTGCCGCCCCCCACCCTGTGGCTGGCCCTCTCTGGGCCTTGACCTCCCCAGCTCTGATTGGCCCGGGCGGGCGGGGGAGGGGGAGGGGAGGAGCACGTGGCTGTGGGGTCCCACAGTTCCAAGCTGTGTGTGGACTGGCACAGGGGGGTGGGGGACTCTCAGGGTGCACTGAGGAGGTCGCCCGTGGCTCCCGAGACTGGGCTGCACCCGGGTTTTCTCGGCAAGGCCCCCCGCCTCGGGGAGTGTGTAGCGGTCGAGTGAAGACGGACGCTCTCACGTCATCAGCTTTTGGCTTCTCCATAAACCCGCAGCTGTCAGCGCAGACAGCTGGCAGGCAGGTCACGTGCTGGCCCGGCTCTCGGCCCATCTGCTGGGTGCTGGCACCCTCTGGTGGCCTGAGGAGCCCCTGCACCCCGCTGGGTGCCTAGCTCCTGCTGCTCACACCCTTCACTGGGGGGAACCGAGGGTGCGCCTGGGCCCTGTTTGGGTGCTGACTCTGAGCAAAGTCTGGCCGCCTGTGGGGGGGAGGGGGGGCAGACAGTGCACAGAGGGAAGCAGTGCCGTCAGAACAGATGAGGGGGGCGTCAGGCGTGGGAACCACGGGGTGGCTGTGCCAGGGGAGGGGCCCGGGTGGACTGCACCCTAAATAACATGGCAGCCGAGGCCTGAAGGAAGCCAGGCCTCTAGTCACACAGTCAGGAGAGTGCCTCAGGCTGAGAGGGCCGTGGGTGTGGGAACACTGAGGCAGGAGGGAGGCTGGGAGGCTGGGAGGCTGGATCGGGAGAGGAGGCAGTGGCCCAGAGAGCCAGGGCCAGGACGGGCAGGGCCCCGGCCGCCCGAAGGGCCGGCTCTCACACTGGGAAAGAGGCGCAGCGCTGTCGGGCTCGGGGTGGATGCCCCACGGCTGGCCTGACATATCGGGGAGGGTGGCTCTGGCCGCTGCGTTGAGACGGTGGGGGCTGAGGGAGATGAGGGAGACCGGAGCAGATGCAGGGGCGGAGGCGAGGGGGAGCGGGCAGAGAGAGGCAAGGCAGATCTGCGGGTGGGTGAGCCGCCGTGCTGACCACCAGCATGGCTGTGAGGCGGGGAGGGGACCCCCGGGCCCAGGCAGGGGGCTGAGGGAGGACCGCAAGGGTGGGGGGCAGCAGGGAGCCTTCGGGGCCTGGGACCTGGGGAGGCGGAGACCCCGTGGGCGGGGAGGGGAGCACAGGGAGGAACCGTGGGTCACAGGTCAGCTGCTGCCAAGGCTGCGGAGCTTTGCAAGGAGTCTGGGAGGGCGGGGCCGGGAGAACGGGGTCCAGAGGGGGTGACGGAGGGGACTGCTCTGTCGGGGTCCCTGTCCTGAGCCCCCACCTCCCCCCCCCCCCAGGTGCTGCCTGTGCCCCTCCCGGCCCCGGTTTGCGCCCGGCGTCACCATCGAGGAAGACAACTGCTGCGGCTGCAACGCCATTGCCATCCGGCGCCACTTCCTGGACGAGAACCTGACGGCCGTGGACATCGTCTACACCTCCTGCCACGACGCGGTGAGGGGCGGGCCGGCGGGCGCTGTGGCTGCGGGGCCAGCTGCCAGGGGTCCGGGCGCCCACGCTGGCCCCGGGCGACAGGCCTCCCCCGGCTGGGCGGCACAGAGGGGGGCCTTCGCCCCATTTCCCCTCTGGGGCTAGGGAGTGGACCCCAACCCCACACCCAGGGACTCTCAGGGTGCACTGAGGAGGTGCAAAGACTCTCAAGCCTTTGGAGGAGGAATCGGGAAGAAGCAGCAAGGCCAGCGGGGAGGGCAGCCACCGCTCTGGACGCAGCGGCAGGGGGCAGCATGGGCTGTGACCTGGGCCGGGAGGGACCCACCAGGATGGCCGGGGGCAGGTTTGGGAGTGGCTGGGGGGCCAGTGGCTGAGGGAGACAGACTCCGGGCCGGGGAGGAGGGTGCTCAGGGCACCGGCCGGTCTGGCCCGGCCCGGGCTGCTCGGGCTCACCGCCTCCCTCCCCCCAGGTGTACGAAACCCCCTTCTACGTGGCAGTGGACCACGACAAGAAGAAGGTGGTGATCAGTATTCGGGGAACCCTGTCCCCCAAGGTATGCTGCCGGCGGCTCCCTGCCCACCGCGGGGGACCCCTCCCAGACCCCGAGGGAGGCCGCTTCCCGCTGCCTGTCCTCAGCCGCTGTGCCCGTCCCCTCCCCAGGATGCCCTGACGGACCTGACCGGTGACGCCGAGCGCCTGCCGGTGGAGGGCCACCACGGCACGTGGCTGGGACACAAGGTGCCGCCTCGCGGGCCCCGGGGCCCCGGCTCTCTCCCCTGCCTGTCGCTGGGGTGGGTCCTCCCTGCTGGCCGGGCTCGCTGGTAGACATTGGTCAGAGCGGGGGGGGCTCACTGTCCAGGGCTCCACAGTCCCGCCTGGCCTGGGTCCTCACCCGGAAGAGCCTGAGGAGGTGGCTGGGGAAGATCCCACTGGTTTCTATAGACTCTCAAGCCTCTGAGCCTCCATTTTCTCGTCTGTGAAATGGGAACAATGTCATAAAGTGCCCACCAGCCCAGCACGGGTTGCTACGAGGCCAAAAAGGGGAAGTGGGCAGGACAGGGACTCAAGCTGCTGGTCGCTGAGGGGCCGCCCTCTCTCCCAAGCCCTCCCCAGCACCGACCTCTGTCCCTCCTCACCCAGGGCATGGTCCTCTCGGCCGAGTACATCAAGAAGAAGCTGGAGCAGGAGATGGTGCTGTCCCAGGCCTTCGGGAGGGACCTGGTGAGGCGCTCTCCGTGCAGCCGCCCGGGGGCTGGCGCCGGGGCCCAGAGGTTTCCACCGGAGCGGCCGCCTCACCCAGGCCGTTCCCAGTGCGGAGCCATGTCCGATGTCCCGGGGGGAGCGGAGGAGGGGGACCGGGGGGAGGGGGTCCGAGAGCGTCGGGAAGGGGGGCTTCTGAGCAGGCTCTAAAGGAGTGAGGGTTATAGGACCGTCTCCCCAGACTTCGCTCTGTGGGCCCAGCTTCCTGCCCCGGCGGCCGCCCCGCGGGCACCCTCCCAGGCCCCTGGGCAGCCGCCGGCGGCGTGGTCCTAGCTCGGCAGCGAGCGCGCCACGCGGGGCCGGCTCTCAGCTCCTCTCGGTCGCCAGGGCCGCGGGACCAAACACTACGGCCTGATTGTGGTGGGCCACTCCCTGGGCGCAGGCACCGCCGCCATCCTGTCCTTCCTGCTGCGCCCCCAGTACCCGACCCTCAAGTGCTTCGCCTACTCCCCGCCGGGCGGCCTGCTGAGGTGAGCGCGCCCGGTTCTCGGCTGGGCTGACAGGCCCTCGCTCCTGGTCAGTGGGGGCCTGGTAAGCGGAGGGGGGCTCTGACCAATGCCAGGGCACCCCAGATCTACCAGGCAGTGCCCTGCTGGCAGGAAGGGCGGGGCTGGAGCAGACAGCGCAGCCTGGCCCCTGGGCACTCCCCAGGGGGCACTGAGTCTAGAAACTAACCCTCTCCCCCCTGCCTGCCCCACCTGAGCCCCCACACACACCTGAGCCCCCCACCTGAGCCCCTGCTTCCTTTGCAGTGAAGACGCCATGGAGTACTCCAAGGAATTCGTAACGGCCGTGGTTCTGGGCAAAGACCTTGTCCCCAGGCGAGTCACTATCCTTCCCCTCCGCTGGGCTCTTCCTCCCTCCCCCGGCCTCACCTGGGCTCCAGGGCTCCCTCCCTCAGATGCCTGTCTCCCCGAGGGACAGGGGGCGCCAGAGTCCCTTCCGTGCCCCCAGGTGTCCCCGCCTGGAGGGCCCACCTGCCTGGCCTCCCTTCCCGGGCCCGGCCCTCCGCCCACCCTGCGGCCTGACAGCCTGGCCTTCCTGTTCCCGTGCGGCCCCACTGCCCCCGCTGCCCCTGCTGCCCCTCCCACCGGGCCTCCCCCTGTCTCTCCCCCTGCCCCTCCCTCTGGGCCCCCCCAGCCTCTGGCCAGGCTGACCGACCTCGCTCCTCTCCCAGGATCGGCCTGTCCCAGCTGGAGGGGTTCCGCAGACAGCTCCTGGACGTCCTGCAGCGGAGCACCAAGCCCAAAGTGAGCCCCCACCCCCAGCCCCCCACCCCGCCGGGCACCCCGGCTCCAGGCACCTGGTCTGCCACGTGGGCCCACCTGTGCCTCCCCCAGAGCACCGCGGCCCGGCCGCGCGGGACCCTCAGGTCTCAGAGCTCACCCCTGCCTGCCCTGGTGCACACCGGGAAACTGAGGCCAAGGCGGGCGAGGGACTTGCTTTTGCTCTCATTACAAGTTGTCACCGAGCAGAGTCCAGCTGCGGGGCCTGGCTCCCGGCTCCCGGCTCCTGCCCGCAGAGCTGCCTACCGGCAGAGTCAGGAGGAGCTGCCCCGCCCGGGGCTGCGTGTGGGACGGAAAGGCCGCCTCCAAAGCCGCCTGTGGCCCCCGACTCCAGCGGGCGGGCGCCCCCCGGGGTCGGGGTGCAGCTTGCTCCGATTTTTCTTGGCGGCCCAGGGAGGTGACGCGCCCTCCGCATCCCTCCTCAGGTGTCGGGGGTCGGGGGCTGGCCAGGCAGGCGGGAGTGCTGGGCCGCGCCCCGAGGTGGGCAGGGCGGCCTGGACCAGCGGGTCTTCTGTGCCCCCAGCCCTCGGCCCATTTGCCGTCACAGCCCAGGCTGCACTCTTCCCAGCCTCGGTGCCCCTCGCCCTCGGCAGGCAGGACCGGCAGGTGCCAGGTGGGACGGCAGTGAAGTCTGTGGCCGTGCCTGCCTGGAGGAGCGTGCGGGGCTGGACGGAGGCTGCCCCTGTTGGCAGAGCTGGGAGCCAGCCCGAGGCAGCCAGGCCCGGCAGGAGCGCTGGCCTGGACTTAGGGGCCCTGGGCGAGGCCCTCCTCCTCGCTGGGCCTGCTCCCCGCCGCTAGGTCAGGGGGGCTGGTCCTCAGGGCCTCTCCACCCCGGCTCCTCATCAGTTCCCACGCCCGCCCCTGACGGCTTTGTGGTCAGACCCTGCCCCCCTCTGCTCCCCCACCCCCCCACCCCGTCACCGTGAGCCCTCCCGCTGAGCTCCTCGTCCCCGCCCACCCGCCATCGCTCAGCCGTCCCGTCTCCCCTCCCCGCGCACAGTGGCGGATCATCGTGGGAGCCACAAAGTGCATCCCCAAGTCGGAGCTGCCCGAGGAGGCGGAGGTGACCACCATGGCCAACACGCGGCTCTGGACGCACCCCAGCGACCTGACCATCGCCCTGTCGGCCAGCACCCCCCTCTACCCGCCTGGCCGCATCATCCACGTGGTGCACAACCACCCCGCCGAGCAGTGCTGGTAGGTGGCGCCCAGGCCCTCGGCGGGAGGGGCACCCAGACCCTCAGCGGGAGGGGCACCCAGACCCTCAGCAGGAGGGGCACCCAGGCCCTCAACGGGAGGGGGCGCCCAGGCCCTCGGCGGGAGGGGGCGCCCAGGCCCTCAGCGGGAGGGGCACCCAGACCCTCAGCAGGAGGGGCACCCGGACCCTCGGCGGGAGGGGGCGCCCAGACCCTCAGCGAGAGGGGGCGCCCAGGCCCTCAGCGGGAGGGGGCACCCAGGCCCTCAGCGGGAGGCAGCGGTGGCCAGGGCAGGGGCCGTGCCCCCCACCGTGTCCCCCAGGGGAAAGGGCTGAGGGACTGGGAGACAGATGGCCCAGGGCACCCACAGCGGGATGCCCCAGGCTCTGCCCCTGGAAGAGAACAGAGGCCGGTCCAGAGCAGGACTCCAGGCTCCTCTCGTGTCCCCCGGGGCAACTCCCCCCCCCCAACTTTTGGCCCATTTAGAAGTGATGTCACGGAGGGTCACCCTGTGCCCTGCCGGCTCACACATCAGTGATCACATGGCCTCACCTCTGGGCCCAGGTGGCGGACAGCTGTGCGCAGGGGCGGCTGGAGGAGAGAGAAAGGGATGGGCAAGCACTTGACTCCTCCCCTGCTCGGATCAGGGCTGGGCCCGGGTCCTCCAGCCCAGGTTGTGAGCTGGGTCCTGCCAGGGGAAGGGGGGAGCAGGACAACCCAGTCGCAGCATGTAGAGGCTGCGTGGGGCCGGGGGAGGCGCACGTTCAGCTTCTCCGGCCTCTGTTGGGGTCCATGCTCCCAGCCAGGCTGGGAGGGGGTGGGGGTGAGGGTGGGAGTGGGGCTCGGGCCAAGAGAGGAGCCGGGACGCAGCCCTGAGGCCTCCGGGTCCACCGACCCCTGCTAAGCCAGGCCAGAGAGCAGAGCCAGGGCGGGGGTGGGGGAGGGGTCAGCCTGCCACCCCCTCAGCTTCTCCCTGGCCCGTGCCCCCAGCTGCTGCGAGCAGGAGGAGCCCACGTACTTCGCCATCTGGGGCGACAACAAGGCCTTCAACGAGGTGATCATCTCCCCGGCCATGCTGCACGAGCACCTCCCCTACGTGGTCATGGAGGGGCTCAACAAGGTGAGGCCGGCGCCGGCGGGACCCCCTCCCCCCCTGCCTACCCCTCCCCTGCCACAGCACCCGCAAGCTGCGTCTGCGACCCCACTGCAGGCGAGGGTGTGGGTGCTCAGAGGAGTTAGCTGCACCCCCGGCAGGGCTGTGTGGGGTCTCTGCACCCTGCTCTGTCGCGTGGCCTCGTGGCCCGTGGTGAGGAGCTGAAGAGACACCCAGGGACCTGTCCCTAAGGCAGCTGAGGCCCTGGAGGCCCCCGGCACTGACCGATGCACAGCCAAGCAGCGGCACCCGGCCTGAGGCCGGCCACAGGGAAGGCACACTCGGTCCTGGGGCGAGGCACAGCCACAGGGCCGGTCCAGGCCTTCCTGGAGCGGGGAGGACCTGGGGGGAGGGGGAGGGGGGCCCACCGGCCTCACGCAGCCCTGAGAGGCCTGGCCTGCGGCCACCCCACCCATGGCCGTCACCTGCCCACCGGCTTCCCGCCTGCCGCAGGTGCTGGAGAATTACAACAAGGGGAAGACGGCCTTGCTCTCTGCTGCCAAGGTCATGGTGAGCCCCACCGAGGTGGACCTCACTCCCGAGCTCATCTTCCAGCAGCAGCCGCTGCCCACGGGGCCCCCCGTGCCCGCCGGCCTCGCCCTGGAGCTGCCCCCCGCAGACCACCAGAACAGCAACGCCAGGTGACCCTCCGCCCAGCCCTGGCCCGGGGGTGCAGGGCCCGGAGTGGGCTCCCGGGGCACGTGGCTCCCAGGGCACGTGTGCTCCCAGGGAATGTGGGCTCCCAGGGCACGTGGGCTTTCAGGGCACGTGTGCTGTCAGGACACGTGGGCTGTCAGGACACGTGGGCTCCCAGGGCACGTGGGCTCCCAGGGCACGTGTGCTCCCAGGGCACATATGCTTTCAAAGCACGTGTGCTCTCAGGGCAGGTGTGCTCCCAGGGCACGTGTGGCTCTCAGGGCACATGGGCTCTAGGGCACGTGTGCTCCCAGGGCACATGGGCTCCCAGGGCACGTGGGCTTTCAGGGCACGTGTGCTGTCAGGACACGTGGGCTGTCAGGACACGTGGGCTCCCAGGGCACGTGGCTCCCAGGACACGTGGGTTCCCAGGGCACGTGGCTCCCAGGGCACGTGGGCTCCCAGGGCACGTGTGCTCCCAGGGAACGTGGGCTCCCAGGGCACATGTCCTTAACATGTGTCCCGTGCACAGACTGAGCCCGCATGCTCACACAGCTCTGCACACCCAGGCTGGAGAGGACAAATTTGTCCCCTCTGCTCCGGTCTCTGCCTCGCTGCCACTGCCCTCAGCCTGCCATCTGGAAGCCCACCTGGGCTAGTGGGCATCTAGGATGCACAGCCCCCTGGTCACAGGCCCATAGGTTCGCTCAGACCCATGTAGACCCAGACAGATGGACACCCCTGCTCACACGCACTCACCACGTGTGATTAAGTACTTGTACTGCAGCTGACACGGGCAGCTCCACGCAGACACAGTCCTGTGTAGGACACACACCAAGACAGAGGCCGACACGCACACGCGAGGACAGGCATCCCTGCATGGGGATGACAGACTGTGCCTGGGCCCAGACCCAGTCACACAGACACGCGTGGCGGGTGACAGGTGGGCTGCTCGTGCATACACTATACATACACACAGAGCATGCACACATGCTCCCAGACACCCCCACATACACAGTTACACTCTTTGGGGGGCCCTCCTTCCTCTTTGGAACCTTTCTGCCCAGGGAGGCCCCGATGTGGCCCCAAGGCTGATGAGAAGGGGGATCAGCTGATCCCGGCATCTCTCCCGCCTTCCTCGCATTTCCTGAGGCAGCGCTGCCCAAGGAGGGGCGTGTGCATTCTCCCGCTGTGACTGCTGCACCCCTCGCCCCCCACCTTCACTCACTCCCTGCAGCACCTGCAGGCCCAGAGGCTCGGGCCCCGCCCCGCAGAGGGCGAGGCAGGAGGCACTCAGCTGAGGAGGTTGGGATAGAGCTCTGGGTGGGGCACAGAGGGTCCCCCTCGGTGCAGTGACAGAGCACGGGTTCCCCGGGGCCTCCAGCCAGCAGGGCGCCCGCCCCGTCCCGGCTCAACCCAGCATCCGCCCTTTGTCTGTCTTGGGTTCTCGTGAGTTTTTGTTGTTCTTTTTAAAGGGTCCCTGCCCCTAACAGTTCAGCATCGGCTAAATGAGCTTGCCCCTCTCCCCCTCCCGAGGCTCCCCCCAGCCAGGGAGCTGGGGGTCAGTCTCTGCGCCCCCCTGAGTCTTGCCCCTCCCTGCCCCTCCCTGCCCTCTGCAGAAGCAAGTCCCAGTCGGAGATGAGCCTGGAGGGCTTCTCGGAGGGGCGGCTGCTGTCCCCAGTGGCTGCGGCCGCGGCCGCGCGCCAGGACCCTGTGGAGCTGCTGCTGCTGTCCACGCAGGAGCGGCTGGCGGCTGAGCTGCAGGCGCGGCGGGCGCCGCTGGCCACCATGGAGAGCCTGTCGGACACGGAGTCGCTGTACAGCTTTGACTCGCGCCGCTCCTCGGGCTTCCGCAGCATCCGCGGCTCGCCCAGCCTGCACGCCGTGCTGGAGCGCGACGAGGGCCACCTCTTCTACATCGACCCCGCCATCCCCGAGGAGAACCCGTCCCTGAGCTCCCGCACCGAGCTGCTGGCCGCTGACTCGCTGTCCAAGCACTCCCAGGACACCCAGCCCCTGGAGGCCGCGCCGGGCAGCGGGGGCGCCACCCCCGAGCGGCCCCCCAGCGCGGCAGCCCGCGAGCGGGGGCAGGAGGAGGGGGGCGGCGGGGGGGCGCCCCGCGGCGGCGATGGCGGCGGCGGGGAGCTGGCGCTGCACAACGGCCGCCTGGGGGACTCGCCCAGCCCCCAGGTGCTGGAGTTCGCCGAGTTCATCGACAGCCTCTTCAACCTGGACAGCAAGAGCGGCTCCTTCCAGGACCTGTACTGCATGGTGGTGCCCGAGAGCCCCACCAGCGACTACGCCGAGGGCCCCAAGTCGCCCAGCCAGCAGGAGATCCTGCTCCGGGCCCAGTTCGAGCCCAACCTGGTGCCCAAGCCCCCGAGGCGCTTCGCGGGCTCGGCCGACCCCTCCTCGGGCATCTCGCTGTCGCCCTCCTTCCCGCTCAGCTCCTCGGGGGAGCTCATGGACCTGACGCCCACCAGCCTCAGCAGCCTGGACAAGATCCGGACTCCCTCCCCACCCGGCCGGGGGGCCGGCCCCGCCCAGCAGGAGGACCTGGCCATCTCGGCACGCTAGCCCGCCGCCCCCGCCCCCCAGCGCCCGCGCCCGCGCCAGAGCCCTCGGCCCCTCGGGCTCCGGGCGGCTGCCCCCCGAGGTCCGGTAGCTTTGAGGAGAGGCCCCGGGGGCCAGTTGAGCCTCAGGCCTGGGGCGCTGCTGCTGAGCTGGGGGGCCACGTCCCTACCTCAGCCTAGGACCCCCAGAGCCATGCAGCCTAGGACCCCCCAGGGCCCTCCAGACAGGGGCGGGGTGAGGAGTGGGGAAGAGCCTGGGGCCCTGCCACCTGCCCACCCTGCGGCCCCTGGCACCCCTGCTCCAGGACAGGCAGTGGCCACCGATGCCCTTCCCTGCCCTCTGCTGCTCTCCCAGGGCCAGGAGGGAGAGCGACCCTGCCCCACATACTCTCATCTGTGGGCCAGGCTGGCATCAGCCCTGGCCGCCCCCCCAAGACCTGGTGCCTGCTGGCCAGCCCCTGATGACCCCGCGGGGGCCTGCAGTGCTGGGTATGTTTACAGAAGCTGCTGGGCGGGGCTTCGGTGTGTCCTGGGCGTGCAAGCCCCACCTCCTCGGTCCTGCTTCGTGGCCCCGCTGGGCAGGGCAGGTGCCTGGGGGGCCTGGAGGAGGTGGGGTCAAGACCACCCTGCTCTCCTCAGTATTCCTCACGCTGTCCCCTCTGTGGATGGGCCCTGGGCGCCCAGCCCGCCCGCTGCTCCTTACCTCCCAGCTCCTTACCCCCACGCTGTACCCCTGGGGTCCTGGCCATTCCAAGGATGGAGGGCACCACCGGGACCACCCCTGGCTGCTGAGTTAGTGCCCTGGGGGGGGCACGCCCAACCCCTCTTCCTTTTAGGCTCCACAGGACCTCACCTCCCCCCATGCCTGGGCAGCTCTGGCCCTAGGATCTGAGACCAAACACCTTCCACTCCCCTCGCCCCTCCTCGCTGGCCTGGGCCTCTCCTGGGCGTTCTTCCTTCCAGTCGCCCGTGTCTGTTGACAGAAAGTGGGACCACGGGTAGGGCACGGTGGCACCGGCTCACTGCTGGGTCAGGGGCTCTGGGGCTGGCCTGGCTTCGCCTGGGGGCTCCACAGCCCCCCCTGAGTGCTCGCTCCCCTTTGGAGAGCGGGCCTTCTCCCAGAGGCCCCGTGGGGGGCTGTGCATGCTCGCGTGGGGCACCGGGGTGCATGTGCATGGGTGCGTGCCATTCCTGAGGGAGGGGCCGCTGAGGTGCCCACCTGCCTGCCCGCCACCCCTCCCCACCTGCCAAGAGAGCAGCCCGGGACCACGATATGCCCGGGACGCAAGGGAGCTGGGTTTGGACGTCACCTGTTCTGTCTCACCTGCTGCTCTGACCCCTGATTTGGAAAACCTGTGCCAAGGCGCTGACATCCGCTGTGCCTTCGTCTCCTCGGAGGCATAACCTTCCCCCCTCTGGCCCCACCATGGCCCCCGTCAGCTTGGCTCCCCATCCCCTGATCACTGGTACCTTGGGCTGTGCCATGACCCTGACCCCACTCACTGCTGGGATTGGCCCAGACCCTGCCCTGGGACCCTGCCCACCCCGACCGAGGGGCACAGAGACCTGGAGGGAGCTGGGCCTCCCTCCCTCTGTGACTCCCACCCCTTACCAGGCTCCCTGCCCTGCCCCTGCTGCAGGCCAGCTGCTGGCATAGCCTGGGCCCAGCACAGAAGCAATTCGAATCAGTGGCCCTTCGAGTATGAAAACAGACCAATGAGAAATCAGAGTAACGTTCCCACGAGCACCCTGGCCAACCGCAGGGAGCCTTTCGGCCTGGCCTTTCCATGCCTCCTCCGCCGAGGTGGGCCCGAGACCTCTGAGGGGCGTGGCGCCCACCCGTGCCCAGGACTGAGCCATCAGGGACAGACGCCCCGCCCCAAGGCTGCAGCCGCACAGGGTTACAGGCTTGGGGCCGGGGCAGACTCGGACTCAGCCCTGATGCTCCGGGGCCAACCCACCCCTCCCCGCCCCCACCCGACGGGTGGCCTGCCTGAGTCTCTGCCCTCCTCCCACATCACACTTGGGGGGTCTGAGCCACCCCCCTCAGCCCCACTCGGCTCAGCTTGACCCCCTCACTCTGTTCCCGCAGCACAAGCGACCCCGGCCACGCACTGGCCTGTCCTCCGGGGGCCTGGGTGACCGGGAACCCCCATATGCAATCGATAGCGAGCAGCCGGGCCCCCGCCCCGACACGCACTCCACGTGCCATTCTCCCGCGACGTTTTTGTACCTAATGTATGAAAGACCCAGACTAATACTGCTGTACAGAGGAGAGACAGATTAATATAGCCTATTCTATAAATATATCTGTATATAACGGTTCCTGTACATTGTATAGACTACTGTGTATAAACTGGATGCAGAAGCTCACTGGCTGCTCGAGTGCCCTCTCTTCCCAGCAGGGGGGCGGGGGATCGTGGCTGAGGTCAGCGGCGGGGGTGGGGGGCGGGAAGAGGACTCGGGCCCTCGCTGCTGCCCTGCCGGGGCCCTGATCCAGACCTCACTGAGCGGCAGAGAGACCGGGCGCTGGAGCTGCTGAAGGAGGCCCCGCCCTGGGAGATGGGGGCCAGCGGGAGTGATTGACCCCCTGGGAAGAGGGGGCTTCTTAGCTCCCTTTTCTCCCCCAAAGGGTCTGGGGCTCAAAGAGGGTACTTAAGGTGCTCGGGGCCAGGCTGGTCTGACAGTGCCACCCCCTCTCCCCAATCCAGGTACGCAGGGGCCACGGGAGTCTTGTGATGGCTCCCCTGGGAGCATGCAGAATACCTGCCAGGCCCGGGGACCCGATCCCTGACCCCTCCTGGCTGCAGAACAGTAGGACCGGGGAGCAGCTGCGGACCCTAGGGGAGGCACCTTGGCTTCCTGCCAGCCTCATGTCCCGCCCTGCCCGCTCCACACGCCAGGTGGCGCTGTTCCTCCAGTCCGTCTCTCCCCCAGGGAGAGTTTGGCCCAGGCGCTGACCCAGCCAAGCTGTGACCCAACCTTGACCTTCTCCTTTTCCTTACACTGTGCACCCTCCTACCCCGGACCCTTGAGTCCAGAGTGACCCTACTTGGGGCAGGGGGGTGGTGGGGGAGAGGAGGTGGGCGCAGAGGGAGAGAACAGTGACTGTCACTCAGGCCTCTGAGCACAAGAGGAAACTGAGGCTAGATAAGGTCACTCAGGTTGTAGGGTCAGACCTAGAACCAGCACCCAGACTTCCCAGCCTAGGACTCTGGCCTCCACCCTCCCCTAACGGTTCTCGGAGGCTCTTCCCAGCCCATAGTCTCACTGGGTTTGCAGATTCTCCTCTTCAATTGGTGGGGAAGCCACTGGGGCCAGAGAGGCCCTGGGACTGCCCGCGGTCACAGTGAGTGTGGAGGAGGGAGGGTCTCAGGAGAGGCAATTCTGGGAGAGGCCGGAGGAGGGGCACGCTGTCCCAGGCCCATGCAGGATGCTCGGAGGGTGAGTGAGAGCTTAAGGGCCCCCAGACCCAGGTGTGCCCTCTCACCCTCAAGGGAGGCAGTGCCCCCGGCCTCGCTGGCTGGCTGGGTTCCCCCTCACCACCCTTTGGGCTTCCGCTGTCCTATGGGTGGACGCCGGGGCTGGAGGGCCTGTGGAGGCCAGGAGGCCAGGAGGCCTGTGGGAGGGAGGCTTGGCCCTGGACTGAGCCCCACCCTCTCCTGGGCTGGCCTCCAGCCGGTTACTCATTAACCCTTGGGTCCCCGCCTCCCTTTCCCAGGCCTGCCTTCTATCCGCCGCCTCCTCCTGCCCTCCTGTCTCCGGAGGCCGGCGCTGGGTGCTGGGCCGGACCTGGGATCGTGGAAAACCCCATTTATCCATCACTTTCCTGGTGCTTGGCCGGGCTGGTTCACAGATGCGGCTTCTCAGGACCAGGAGGCCTCGGAGAACGGCGAGCCAGCCACCAGGGACAGCGCATCAGCCCGCCTCGCTGCCTTCTTGGTCCCCCACTTGTGGCTGGGTGGGGCGAGGGGGCGATGGGGACTCCTCTCCATGGTGGGCCGCTCCTCCGTGCAAGAATGCGAGGCTCTCTGGGGTTCCCTCAGAGCCCCAGCCCCTGGCCTTGCCCCCTCCTCTGCCCTCCCCACCCTGCCCCAGCTGGGTGAGTTAGGAGATAGTAGCTGTAACTCGTGGCTGAGCCCTCAAACCGGGGCCATTCCAGCCCCCCTTTTCCCAAGCCCAGAGCTGAAAATCCCTGGGCACCACTGCTCAGTGGCCTGGTGGAGCCGGGGGAGAGGCAGGGCCTGAACCCCTGGCCAGGCCAGCGACCACGGGATTGACGGGAGGCTCCGCCTGCCCCGTCCGACTTCAGGGCTCCCGGAGACAGGGACCCAGCCTCAGGAGGCGGGTGCTGCTGGGAACGAAGCACACGCACCTCCCCGTACCCCACCCTGATGACCAAAACAGGGCAAGGCTCCCATGTTGGCACCCCGTGGGAGAGGACTGAGCCCTGTGGGTGGGGTGGCGTATAAAGGGGCTGGCTTTCCCTCGGGTCCGGGCAACTCCTAAAATAAGTTCATTTTTAAAAATCACAGTGCGTAGGTGGTATCTGCTTCGTCCAGGCCAGCCGGTCCGGTGGGGGAGAGGCAGGGAGGCAGGGGAGAGGCAGAGCAGAGCAGGGAGAGGCAGAGTGTGGGGGGGAGGCAGAACCAGGGGGGCGGAGGGGGGAGGCAGGGCGGTGGGGGAGAGGCAGGGCAGTGGGGGAGAGGCAGGGTGGTGGGGGAGAGGCTGGGGTGGGGGAGAGGCGGGGGGGGGGGAGGCAGAACCAGGGGGGCGGAGGGGGGAGGCAGGGCGGTGGGGGAGAGGCAGGGCGGTGGGGGAGAGGCCGGGGTGGGGGAGAGGCAGAGGGAGAGCAACAATTGTCCTCAGGGAGGTTGCAGAGGGAGAGAGACCTCTGGGGTCTATCGGCTGCCGAAGAATAGGCGCCTCAGTGCGGCCTCCCCCCTCAGCCTGCCCCGCGGGGGGAGCACACACAGCTGGGGCCTCCAGCAGAACCTCGTTCTATACATGTAAGCGCAGCAGCCTGCGGCCCCCGGGACAAAACCTCATTGTGAAGCACCCACCGCCTGGGCGCCCCTCCCCCAGCCCAGAACTGTCATGGCATTGACCCTCCTCCGTGGCCACCAGGGCCTGGCTGGCTGGGCCACATCTGGGGCTCAGGCACCGGCCACCCTCCTCGCTGGCTGGTCACGGAGGCCGGGGTGGGGGCAGGGCAGTGGGCCTGGGTGGGAGCAGCTTCCAGGCTCTCACCCCAGCCCCTCCGGGCCGCCCAGCTCATCCCCACACCCTTGCTCTGGGGCCACTGGCTGGCAGAGCCCAGAGCTCGAGGCTGGCTAGGCTGGTACCCTGGCCTGCCCCAGGCCCTCCCAGCCCCTGGGCCGCCGTTTCCGTTTGGGATGGGACAGCGTGGGGTGGGTGGACCAGTGTGGGGTGGGACGGGTTTTTGCTCTGGAGAGGCTAGGCATGAAGCCCTCCCGCAGGACATGATTCGATGGCTCTGCCAGTCTGGAGGCTTCCGAAGTTTGGAAATGCCGTTCTCCAGCCGGGCAGGAATGGGTGGCCCAGTGGCTGAGCGTCGACCTCTGAACTAGGAGGTCACAGTTCCATTCCCGCTCAGGGCACGTGCCGGGGTTGCAGGCTCGGGTCCCAGGGTGGGGCTTGTAGGAGGCAGCTGATCAGTGATTCTCTCTCATCACGGATGTGGCTATCTCTCGCCCTCTCGCTTCCTCTCTGAAATCAATAAAAAAAAATTTTTTTTTTTTTTAAAGAAAATGTCACCGACACTGGTTTGGCTCAGTGGATAGAGCGTCGGCCTGCAGACTGAAAGGTCCCAGGTTTGATTCCGGTCAAGGGCTTGTACCTTGGTTGCGGGCACATCCCCAGTAGGGAATGTGCAGGAGGCAGCTGATCGATGATTCTCTCTCATTGATGTTTCTAACTAATCTCCCTCCCTTCCTCTCTATAAAAAAATCAATAAAATATATGTTTTAAAGAAGAAAGAAAATGTCGTCGTCCATTCATTCAACACACGTCTATTGAGCACCTCCTGTGTTCCGGGTGTGTGCTTGGTGCTGATGCTATGGCAGCGATGCAGCCAGAACAATCTCTCAGCCTCAAGCCAGTTCCAGAGCCAGAACAAACATCCAACGAAACGCACGCTGCGAGAGAGAAAAACCGCGCTGGGGGCCGCGGCTGGAGGTGGGGTATCCGAGGGGTGATGTGGGAGCGGAGACCTGACTGCCGAGGAAGAGCCAGCCCCCTGGGGACACGCATGATGGGGAGCCGGAACAGCACTGCCCAGCCCCGTGGCTGTGTGAGTGTCGGCGAGGAGGCGGTGGTGGCTGCGACGTAGTGAGCACTGGAGAGAAAAGCAGGAGCTGAGGTTGGTGGTCCGGACAGGGCAGACCCGACGAGGCCTTGGGAGCCAGGGCAAGAGGTTTAGATATTGCTGTGAGTGCAAAGGAGACCACGGGTTTTGGCAAAGGAGTGGCATGATCTGATTTGCGTTTTTTTTTTTTAAGTGATTTGGAAGGATTGCGGGGATCAGCAAGGAGGGGGCTGTGCAGTAGGACAGGAGAGATGAAGAAGCGCCCAAAGGGGGAGGTAAGAGGTGAGAGAGGCGGGTTTACCCAGGACTCCCCAGGAGGGAAGCCCCCGGCCTCATCCCACCACCCAGGGTGGCAGTGACCGAGGGCAGTGTCGAGGGTCTCAGGGTCTGGCTCTGGGCGCTGGCGGTGACCTCATTACCTGGAAACGCTTAGATCAGCGGTTGGCAAACTCATTAGTCAACAGAGCCAAATATCAACAGGACAAAGACTGAAATTTCTTTGGAGAGCCACATTTTTTAAACCTAAACTAGGTACATCGTTATTAACTTAATTAGGGTTCTCCTAAGCTAGCCTTTGCTAAAAACTCAAGGTGCCAAAGAGCCGCATGTGACTCTCGAGCCGCTGTTTGCCGACCACTGACTTGGACCTGTGCTGTCCAACGCTGTAGCCACCCACTAGCCTACACTCGCCTATTGAGACCTGAACCTGTTACAACAACACAAACCAGCAAGGCCGGCTCCT